ATAATAATAATAATAATAATGAACAATAAGAATAAGAATAATAAACTTTGTTTTATCCTGGCCTTTCCCCCATCACACACCAATTCAAGTTCTCTCAGGAATTTATTCTTGGTCTATATTTACCTCGACTGCCTCTTTTGCCTTCTATTTTTCCCAGTGAGATCGAGACATTGATGTATGCCTGTCCTGTAGTGTCTTTATGGCCAGCAATCTACGGCTCTCATAAGTTGTCAAATTTTCCTTATCTTAACAGTCAACAGTCTCGCTCCTTTTCAACTTTTTAACCCTATCCGTACGACCTGGGGTCATATTTTTTACTCCTGGGATTGTGTTCTTGACACTTTACAACACTTCTAGTACGAAGATCTCTTTGAAACTTTCAGCATTTCTCAAAAAATCTTTTTGACAGACTGCTGTCATGCAAGATGTACGGATTGGATTAACGAGTAAATTTCCTCTTTGGAAAGTGGTGCACTGAGTTCTCCCACGTCGTATGGATGCGACAGTAAAACACGACGTACGGATAGGGTTAAGCGTGTCAGCCTTTGTTTTTGGTATCGGTCTTTGTTTTGTTTGTATTGTTTTGTTTTGTTTGTTTTCTTGTTGTTTTTTTTACTGCGTGCTCCCTCCATAATGGGACGACACGCAGATGTCGCTTCACACCGGTCTTCTCTCTATCGTGTCATCACTTAAAACTTTGTCGTGATAGGTCGTGCACCTTTCGGGCCTCGTGGTGGGTGCTGTGCTGTGCTGTCTATAATTTATAATTCATCCTGAGCACAGCATGTTCGACGCAAGACGGCATTGATTGTCTCCAGTCGTTTGAAAACTGATGATGGTTGGTTGGTGGGTGGGGCTTGATTGAGGCGTGCTGACCTTGGTCGAAGTGTTTTCTCTTCGCTACCCCTCCCTCCCTCCCCACCCCCCCTCCTATTTTCTGTCTTTCTCTACTCTCTGTGAGCTCATTTTCTACTGTCTCTGCTCTCTTTTTCTAGTTCTACTGTCACTCGCCCGCTATTCTTCTTCTTCGCCTACCCTCTTTCCCGTCTCTGCTGTCTCTCTCCTCTCTTTCTCTTTCGCTACTCTCTCCCTCCTTCTCTCTTCTCTCTCTCTCCTCTCACTTTCTCTACACTCTCTTTTTCTCTTCCCCCCCCCCCCTCTCTCTCTTTTTCTCTCTCTCTTCCTCTACACTCTATCTCTTCTTTCCTACTTTCACTCTTTCTCTACTCTCACTTTCTATATTTACTGTCTCTCAACTCTCTCCCTATGAACTATCTCCCTATATACCCCCTCTCTCTCCCTCTCCACTCTCTTTCTACTATCTCTCTCTCTCTCTCTCTCTCTCTCTCTCTCATCATCGATTGACTCAAACCCTCACCGCTTTCTCTCGGGACTCCTATGATTAAAACCGTAGGCCCACCGTTCGGGGTCCTGTATTGTTTTTACAGTAACATCTATTCTAACGGTCACATGTCTAAAACAGTCACCTCTACTTTACTTACTTCTTCCGATCTAGAGAAAATCGGACTTCAGCTGCTTCGGCCTGATCACCTGTACAAACGACCTCGTCCCCCCTCCTGCGTTTTAAAAAATACAATGGCACTGCCCAAGACATCCACAAGCACTTAAATAGTCCTTGTCATTTGACGGTCATCTTTGACAGGTCCGAATATCTCTTATTTTTACGAATGATTTTTCTCTTGGGTAGTATATTATCTGCCTGTCGGTTTTTTTTCTCTCTAATCATTCTGGGGGAGAGGTGTGTGGGTTTTTTTTTTTTACTGTGGTATTGTTTATT